TTCTGCTGCTTGTTTGCTGCTTGTTGTGCGCTGTTTATGTGCTGCTGCTTCCACACTGTAATTGGATCGGCTTGATACAAAATCTATCTGGCCATCGGTAGCAAAGCTGTAAACGCCTTGTAAACAGGAACCTGATGTGACCCAGTCGCATCGGGCCACTACTTGCGGATTATATAGCTCTTTTCGAGTCACCTGATGTGACTAAAGTTGGTGACAGTACCCTGCGTAGGCATCCCGCGTAGGCACCTAACAAAGAGAACCTCTCGCGTAGGCATTTGCTTGAGAGGGGAGCCCAGGCGTAGGCACCCGCGTAGGTACAGACCCAGTGTATAAGCCCCACACCACAAAAAAAAAACACAACTCATTTGGGCTTGGAACATACTCCTGCAAACTCTTTAAAATCCAGGTCAAAGTAACTTGAAATAGAGTTGCAAAAAGCTCTTTCATCAACATGTTGTACTTTCCACACTCTTTCACAACACCAGCACCTCAGTCTCAATCTCCAGTGGGGTCCATGGCTCACCATTCTCTCGATCATGGTCAGGGAGATCCTGAGAGTCCACTGGCTCAAACAAACAGAATTATAAAACCAAGTACCGGGGGGATAGTTTGACTTCCCCAACTCAAATAAAGGTCAAACTTGACATGAAATACCAAATCAGCCAGGATAAGAGTCACATCTCCTCACAAAGCGCCAGCAATGATTGACTCGTGTCTCATCTTTGTCAACTGCCCGCGCATTGGGGACAAGCCCTGTCATCGAAAGACCAAGTTGGCCAAGCCATGACTTGTAGTCAAAGGCACCCTCAAGCATTGCATTCTGGAGCTGCCTGCCTTTCACAGGCGTCACCTTCAGGTTCAAGATCTCCAGGAAATCCTTGGCAAGGAGGCCCAAGCAACAAGAACATCAAGTGGAAATTCCTAAAATGGATTTGGGACAAGCAATAAACTGCCAGAAAAACTCTCCAACAAATCACCCAGAATCTTCCGGTGTTTGGATCTCACTCTCATTCCCAAACACTGTGGATGCAATGGACAGCCTCTGATCCACTGCATTATGAGTATGTCCAACTTCTGCAAAGATGTGGGTGACCGTTTTGAACCTTGCATCTGGCACATCAAGCCAAAAGACAAAATATCACTAAGGCAAGGTGTTCCTTTTCCACCAGGTGTGTTGTTTGTGTGTTTGTTTTGATGGATGGAACTGCTTTTGTGCCCAGAAACTTTGAGCGAGCCACTGCAAGAGCACTCCATTTGGCCATCACTTGATTCTTGCCTTCACGGCAAGTGTTATCTGTCTGCAGGGTTTCAAGAAATGTTCAAACAGCATGTTCATTTATATAAACAATATTTTTATACATACAAACATGTTTTTAGCTAGTATCATATCTTTGTAGCCTTTTAATATTAAGGTTTTGTTGCTGGGAATGGCACCTCGATAACTAGGTGTTCCGGAAGGTCACCGCCCAGGGCATCAGCGCAAATGTCAAGGATACGTTCCAGACAAGTAAGCTCTGTAGATGAATCTTTTGGAATGTCAGCTGGTAGCACAAAGAATCCATCTGCAACCTGATGTCACCAACAAGGCACACCTTCAAACACCACTAATCACTCTGATGACACACTCTCACTCTTGAACCCAGTTGTAGCCAGGACCCAATGTTTCAAAAAGAGAGTCACTTAGTGTGCTAACAAAGTGGCTCCATAGGCGATGTAGCCAACCAGGTGGACCTGTGGGCGCCACAGCTTATCCAAACACTTGGCGGACTTCAAGTTGCGCGGCCACCTTGTTTTGGATTGGTCTAACCCATCCATTGCCACAAGCAACGTGGATGCTTCACCACCTGAGCCTGAGCTATCTTTGTTGACACTGGACTCAGAGAGCATTGCAAGTCGAGATTGGATAGTCCTGAAAGCTCTCACATTCTTCAAATGCTCCGCCTGGCTCTTTTCCAATTGGGCTCGCTCATCCTGAGAATGAACTTGCCCAATTCTTGCACTGAACATTGCACAGGCAGTGCACCTGACTCTGAACCAGTATTGCCATTGAAAAGGTACCCTCTCATGAGGAAATGGTGGTGCAGCAAATCAAGGCGTTTGTTTCATCACATCCACAGCTCCACTACACTACACATGCAAGAACATATTTTTGTTTCAGCATGTGAGTCACAAGACTACCCATGGGGCATACACTGTCATTGTCCACACCATGGTTGGCCAACCAGTGGGCATTAACAGGTTGAACACATTGAGATTTAAAGACAGGTCAGACATCAGAATAGAGAAAACACTTCTATTGTGTCAAGGCACCGAGCATGCTGGTTGACCTCCCTCATGACAAGGCAAGACCTCCACTTCGATTGGTACACATTTCTGAATGTCCGGTTGCTGGCCCGCTCCTTTGGAGGAATCCCATTCGCTTCATTGTCACACCACAAGATGTACTGCTGATAAAACGCCTCCATGGTCATGTGATTGAAGTGTCGGGTTTGAAGCGTGCCTGAGGAGCATTGCTGGATAGGAACACAAGCCCAAGCTCAACAGCCAAAAGGATTTCCCCAAAGGGATTTCACACCAAAAGGAACAACATGTTTGCTTTCTCCAAACCAAGAAACCCTTGGCATTCATCATGCCTCCATGACCAGATCCCACCACAGCATTAGAACTGGCCAGAGTGGACTCCAACAGCTGTGGCTCCAAACCAAGCAAGCTTCGGGGAAGATCTGCCGACTTCAAATCACCTGGAGGGCCACAAGACTTTGTTCCATCAACGCTGAAGCTTTCACACACTCATACTCCTCAAAACAAGACTTAACCAAACAGTTTTTTGAGTTTACCCAATGGTTAGAGGATGGGTTTTGAATGGGCTAGTGGTAGCATGTTGCATTCAACGTTGCTTGGACCAGCGGTTCAATGAATTTCTCGCCTGGGAGCATCACACCAGAGCAGTGCAATTGCGCAACATAGGGGTCACTCTCCACTGCTGGAGTTTCTGCCAGGGTCTCCGCCTCACTTCCAGGAGCACACTAAGCCATTAGGACCCAAAAAGAGCAGATCACATGAAGGCTTTGCAGAAATAAAACCTTTGCCAGATATGATCAAAGTGCAAAATTGTAGTAGAAGTAATTGAAGAAGGCATCAACATGGTCAGATTTGGGATTTTCCTTTGGCCCATTGTACTTGCGCTTGTCAACAGGGCATTGGTTCTCATCAATGCCACCAGATTGCAACAGCCGGTCAACCTTACCCAGCGAATCTAAAACACCATTGACCATTGGTCAAACCATTGAACCACTTCAACACATTTGTAGCCCAAACTGCCCAAACTGCTATCTTGTGTGCTGCTTCAGCCATGGCACCCTTTTGCCATTGATTTGAAGCAATTGCAAGAATGCTTCCCGGCAAAGTGGAAACCCAGCCAAGCTATACTTGATCTGCCCATTGCCAACCTGCACAAGGGCACTAGAATCCTCCTGCCTCATGACATGTTTCAACCATTCAGACAGCCCTCCCCACTCAGACCTCTTTGATCGTTTTTGGAACACAGGGCCTTCTCCATTCTTCCAAGAAGGCCAACAAGATATTGATTGACCTCCTGCTGATTCATAGAGTCCATTTTGGCCAACACATCCTTGTAGGCCAGAAACACTCAACACAAAAACATATGAAGTAAACACATAGCAAAAAAAAAACAACCTGCTGGAAGCAAGGACAAAGAGTCCTCCAAATGCCTCGACCGACTGGGAGTGGCATGAAAGCAAGGCAGGCAACTCTTGGAGCAACATACAGGCTTCCGGCGAGGTTGCACGAGCCCTTTCTCCCGCGAATGCCTGCAAGGCATGCAAGACGATAGGTACTGTAACAAACTCACTTGGCTTTGCCAACTTATATCAACATTATCAACAAATGACCAACTGCAAGAAACTTGTTGAATTAAATCATGCTGCAGCTCTTCCAAAGCCAATCGCTTGCGGCATGGGGTCACTGTTTGTAGCTGTGGCTCAACCACTGGCCCAAACTCATCATCCGGAGGAAGCTCCATGGTCATAATTGGTTCACGATGGTGACGTTATGGCAGTTGAGCAAAAGCTTCTGCAAAACACTTCTTTGAGCAATCTCAAACTATGGAAGATCAAAGGATGCTTGGTACTTACTTATCTCACACAAGCCCGATCTTCTATCTTCACACACGTCCAACCCCTGGAAGGCACCTGCCCAGCAGGAGATCCATAGCCAGTCCTAGATGGGACCAGTGTGCAAAGCCAACATCAGATTGGAATCCTGAAGCCTACATTCAAAATTCCTACCAAGCCCAAACTTCTAAACACATCCAAAAAGTTTTAAGCCCTTGTCCTCCACAGCTGGGTCCAGCGCTGCGGCAACTGCTGCCACCAGCAGCAGTCCCAAACACCACCCCCACAGCCCCCCCAACACCCCCAGATGGGACACTCTGAAAGACTCCATGAAAAGAAATGATTCATTGGATGGATGTAAGTTTGGGTGTGGAACCCTTTTTGTTGGACCCTTAGACGTGCCCATCATGGAAGATTCTGATCTCCCAAAATTGAATTCCAACTTACCATGATCAACTGCAGATCCTTCAGATCGGGTTCCGAAGCGTTTCGGAGCCGCCGGACGCGCCGATTGTGTCGTGTTTTCCTTCGGGGGAACCCACGATGAAAGTTGACACCGACACACCGAGCCTCAGCATGTGGATCGAAGCGTTTGCGCTAGCTGCCAGCCGTGGCCAGCCGCCAGGTGGCACCCAGTGTCAGATGTTTTTGAGATTCGTTGGGAAGGGGCATCTTGAACTGGTTGACCACATGAAACAGAATTGCCAGTATATACAACCAAAGACACTTGATCAATTGTTGTTGTTTGTTGTTGCAACATAATTGGCAATTCAAACTATATGGACCAGGATGCCAGCTTGGTTCTTCCACTTCTTTGAGAAGGTTTGTGCTTTTTGCGCCGGTCGCGGCACCGCTGCGCACCACGAGGCGGGCGAAGCTCCCGATCCGCCGTGTCAGATCCCTGGAGGGAGAAGGGTGACTGAACATGACTGAACTGAACTATACCTTCACTGGCCCCTTTCCAACCACCCATATGTATGCTATGCCTTGCATAGAGTGTTTGGGGATTATGAGAAACTGGTCGAGGTGAGCTACTGTTGATGGACGAAATCCTGCACCACCTCACCACTTTACCCTGTAAGGGTCACATAGCAAACCCCTGCGCCCCCTCATTCAATGTTGGCACGATGCCTGTGAGGAGGTGGTGCAGGATTTCGGAGGTTCAACTTGTTTTGTTTATCTCACTGTGGTGGTCCCAATGTTAACGAGGGAGAACGAGGGCAGCAATGTCCATCAACGGTATGACTACGCACCATTGACCATACTGAACGTGTCTAATAGCGAGGTATAGTGAGGTACAACCACGCAGCACCATATTTTGGCACTTCCAGCCAGGGAACTGGATGGTGGAGTGAAGAGTGGCTGACTATGACTGACTACTGGAATACAGCTGACCTACAAGAATGAAGACCAGCAAACACTGAAGAGAACGGCTGCCCATGGCCATGGGCTGCCCATGGCCATCGCTCAGGTCGTCTCGGTGTTTTGGAATCGCTTCTGGCTGAAGCGGCTGAAACGGCCGAAGCGGAACTCGATGTCCATGGAGACTCGACTGAGAGGGACGAGAGAGTAGGGGCTGGGAAGGGCGAAAAAACAGCCGGAGAAACCGGGGTGGGTGGGGTGGTCTTTTGCTGTCCTAGGACCCGCTTGACTTGTGGGGGTGGTAGAACGGATATGCCCTGATCACCTATAGAGGGTTGAGAAGAAGTAGACACTTGTTGCTGGTTCTCGAATACAACTGCAACACTGACACACTGGGAATGGTTGGTGTCATCCAGGAGTGTTATATATATAAGAGATGATGAAAGCACATATATATATATATACATGACTTTTATAATGTGTTCCTTAAAGTGACTTGGTGTTTTTATGTTTGTTTAGTTATTACGTGTTAAGATCAGCAAAAGGGAGTGTAAGAAGAAACAATCTCAGGAGTTGAGTGGGTACCATGACCTCCCCGCTGGGGCTCTGCTCAGGACTGGAGGAGCTCCTTCGTGAGGCTCGTGAGGCTTCGTCTGCCTTATGGATAGTGAGATGGTGAGGGTGTCCTTCGGGGCTGGTCAGAAACATTCAGAAGCAGCAGTTCTTTGGAGACATAATTCCAATTATAGGGAGACCCCTCAATCAATCGGACATACTGGGTGAAACATCGTCTACTTGTCCTTCATCCAGAGGTCTATCAGGACCCTTCTGTTTCAACACACACACACACATCCCAGTGTTTGTTTGCATCGTATAATTTATCTACCGCTTTGCGACTTTTGCCAGAAACAATAGATGTCGATGGAATGAGTCTTAGCCGTGTGGCTACACTACCAAAACAAAAGGAATAGAGAGTCAGTCAAAGGAAAACAACCCGCCCTGGGTCTCGATTGTTTCTCGGGTTGCCCATCCAGAACCGCCTAGCAATGGAGTTGAATTGATGTCCGCTGAAGGGGGCAGACATGTCCGCTCAGGACAGTTTCGAGACCTTTGTAAGAGTTGTCTATAGCGAATGGGACCTGTAAATCCATATGTCCTACCACCAAGCACCGGCCTCCTGCTCCGTCCTCTAGCGATAGACTTTGGTAAGTAAGACACTCCTGGCTCGGAGAGGCCACCATTTCCCATGGAACCCAGTGAGCCCAGCGAGCCTGTTGGATCAAGGAATGCCATGTGTAACCCATCTGGAGGGGGGGCTGTCGACTGACAGCGGGAAACGACCTTTGACAAATTCCGTCAGTGCTGATGAGCCGGGCATAGGCCAACAAAGATATGCACGTTGTGCATGGCAACGGTTTGATTTCGCAGTGCGGCCACCTCGTCGACGGATGAGATGAGAGCCTGTCTAATTTTGTGATGCCAATGGTCGCTGTAAAGAGCGAGTATCACTGGTCTGACAACTGTTGCACTCCCTTGTGTCCTGGTGGCAAACCAGGCAGTTGCTTGAGCAGCCGATTCTCATCCTTGACCATTCGTCTTATGTACAATTCCTATACTCTCGTGTGGGTTTTCTTGCCATGATGCGGTTCCAGTCCTGCTAGCAGAATTAGGGCGTGACGTTCTCTTACTCACTGTGGACAACCTTACCCGGTATGACGAGACTGTCAGACCCTTTGACTGGTGCATGATTCTTGAGCTTCACCACAAAGACTTCCACTTTGCCTGGTGCTACTTTCTCGGTGTTTGACTAACTGCAGTTGGTGGCAATTTCTTTCGATTGCTTGTCTTTGTTCATGATCACATCATGGGCGTGCTCTGACTCTGCCAACGTTGATTGTATTCTATACTCTGCTGGTGGTGGCAAATCCTTGTCTTTTCTCTGAGATCTTCATGGAACGACCCCGAACGACCCTCGGTCTCCGAGAACAACCGCTGTAAGAGCACCCAATTTGCTCTCCCAATTTTGTTCGCATAGCCGTAGCCTTTGAATGTTTCAAGGTTTCTTGTTCATTAGGCTTTGCGCCTGGCTTGATCAACTTTTGTGCTTCTTGCCTGCGTGGAATCTCCTCCCTCAATAGCTCGGCTTTAAACCTCGCCTACGCACCATTGTTCTTCAAGTCGGAGATCTTGGTTTTATTGTTTGCCTTCCATGTACGGCCTACCTTTGCAATTGCGGAACCACGCGAGGTCTACAGCCTTTCTACTATAAGCCTCCCCTAGGTTTATCGCTCTCTCTCTCTCTTGCTCTACGCTTGGGCAGACAATCGAATGATGAACTTCGTCTTCTTGATATTGGTACCACTTCAGTGATCTTCTGGGAGTGTCTATTCCATGGTTGCAGCATTGCGATTCGACCTTTGAATAGTCGCTCATGCTACAGAGCGGGAGAACTTCATGATCTCAATCACCTTTTAGCAGCTAAATATGCTGCCTTTCACGCTGTCCGGCAAACCAGCCGGATCTTTCATGAACCAGCCCAGTCTGGCGACCCCACCATGTCAATGGTTGCATGCTCCTGTGTACGGGTGTGCAGCCCCTCCCCTGAGGAGGAAGACAACAACAACAACAACAACAAGGAATGCCATGTGTAGATAATGGACCTGACAGAGAGAGTATCGCTTCATTTGATGTGAGCTAGGCTCAAAATTAGTGAAAGTGACGAATAGTCAGTGAGTGGTCATGGGAGTTCAACATATTTTCCAAATGCATGTGTTGCTCAAAAAAACGATTATACACTACAATACACACCAAATCCTGAATGACCCGCAACTCCACAACAAATGTTGACCATCGCTCATGTTTTTCATCTTTTTTTCCGGCAGCATCAAAGACATTGTCGTTGCTTTTGTTGTGAGTTCTCAGATGGTCGGAAGATCACACCCACCTCCTGGTAGTACTAGAACTTGGTATGAAAGAATGTGTTTTTTGCAATATGTTTTAGATGTGGCAGTGTTTAGAATGAGGAGGCCCTCAACCAGCAAGTGTGAATTCATTTACTGTCCTCCCAAAGCCAAGTCTCTCTTGAGGGCTTTTCAAGTGGCCCTAGTGTGCTTTGACAAATCCCTCCAATCTACAATGAACCACAGGTACAGGCCGCTTTCGAACTGTTTGTGATCTCTCAAGCACAGTGATCAATGTCCCTCTCAACAGTCTCTCACTTTCAAACTGTTTGTGTTTGTGTTTGTGATCTACAACTCACTTAACCCAACAAGTCACCCCCACGCTCCGCGGACAGTCCGCGGCTCGATCCCAGGCGACTCGCGAGGCGACGCCGGGCGTCCCGATCCCGTCGCGGCCTCGATCCGGGAATGGTGGAGGGTCCACTGGTGGCTGGAACAAGATCAGAAATAGGATCAGCTTGTTGTCTTGATAGGCCAGGGCCAGGAGTTTTAAGATGTTTAAACATTAGCTTTCCAGAGCCTATGGGCTCGTTTGGCTCGTTGGTCCCAGACTTTCGATGCCTCGGCTCGTTTGGCTGATGTGGCAGTCCATCTACGTGCGCAAAGTTTGTTGGCACCTGTGGAGAACTGCGGGTAAAGACCTTACAAACCATCCGTCTCCTTGTACTTAGTAGGAACAACAGAGTTTTCTTGATATTATGTCCATATATGTCCATAAAAGTTCGATGAAATAATGAGCAACTTGAAGGATAAAAGCGTGACAAAAGCTATATGGGTGAGAAAGGTCGTGGATGAGACGGATGAGTAGAGGGTTTTTACCCACCAACCACGGCTATGACTTGGGTCTGTCCGAACTTACCTGTCACAGTCGATAAACACGAACATCACGATATGTTTGGGAAAGGCCTGCAACTAAACCCTGAGTAATCATTGCTGCACGGGCCATTACCAGGGCCCATCAAAAGACCCAAATCGGCCCACGGTATACTGTATATGTTTGGGTTTTGTACCCATGGGCTGGGATGACTTGGACATATAATATATATATAATATATGTATACGTATAATTACGTATACTTATATGATATAAGTTATATATAATTCAGCCACTGGTTTTATACCATTTTATACCAATGTGTATTCGTGGGGGTATATCATCCACTGGGCCCTGGGTGGCCCTGGGTGTTTCCGAGTCCGGACCCGCCAAGCTCGCCGCGAACGGAGCCCGGCGGCCGAGCGAACCTCGCGGCGCACGCACGCGGTACGGTGACCGTGTCCGATCGAATCGGTTCACAAAGCTCAAGAGGGAGGAAGTGTCACTAGCGCTATATTTGTACTATGATAACAAAGCTATCTATAATCTTATATAACATATGATATATGTAACTTATCTTGGAAGTTTGGAGTCTATTAAAGACTAACCATCGAGCTAGACCCAGCGGAGTTCGAAGCGAGTCCTGAGCAGCAGTCACTGCTTCACGATTCCACACTACAGATACTGGATTAACGCAGGAGCCCACCAAAATTCATATCATTTGAACTTGATGGTTTGGATGACGATGGGTTTGGTTTGTTACATAGGTACTGCATGGTACAGTACATGGTTTGCGGGAAAAATTTCTTTGCCAGACAGTTTCTCTACTCTGTGAAACTGGCAACAGTTTGTCTTTATTTTGAGGTGTTGGTTTCCCTGGCCTCCAACACCATGATGACAAGCTGTTGGTCTTCACTCACGGTGAGACGAAGTCCCTGCTTTGGTTGTGTTTGATTCGATAGGCCTCAAGCAGTGATGAACACGCACCTCGGATGGGGGGTACTTGGTTTCATATTTTTGATGTTGGAAGAACTCATGCATGTATGCACCCCACCTCAGATGCGTAATTCCTGATAAGCTGCGGCAGTACCTTTGTCTCAGACGTCCCGTCGATACGTTGCTTGTTCAAGAAACGCACTGCCCACTTGAGTTAGATGTGTGCAGTTTTGCAAGTATCTCACAACCAGATATTGTTTAATTCATGTACACTAGTGCATACATGTGCATACCATCATGTATAGCTGTCCATTGTCCCTGGCTCTGTGGATAACCGTCACCACAATATGTTCAAGGGATCAGTAGCATACACGAATCTGAGCGCAAGATCGCGTAGTACCCCACCTCGGTGTTGGATTTCCACAGATCTTGGGGGTGTTTCAGGGTATTCTAACTGCATACTCATTAACGTGTTCTATGCTGAGCCGTTACCATATATCAGTGCCACTCCACTCCGACTCCGTGCGCCACCGATGGTTGCTCAGGTCTCCACCCACTCCGCCTCCGACTCCACCGCGATCGACCTCGTACCAGACGGAGAAAGCTCCAGGCGGAGAGCGGAGGGTGAGAGCCTTGGGACGGTGAGACTGCAAAGACGAGTGTCCGATCACGGTGGAGCGATGTTCACGGAGCGATCGGACGCGGAACCGAACGGGGCGCTGGTTGGCCGTAAACTACGAACGGAGCCAGAAGCTACTGGTAACAAGGGCATCGCTACGAACGGAGCAAGGACGCTCCTGAGATACAGGGGATGTGTTGGAAGAGGGGGATTTTTCTACCAGGGAACAGGGGACGGCATTTGGATGCATTTTGCCACTGATGTGTTTGACTGACCGATCCTATGACTTGGTGGGCTCATCTATTTTGAGTTTAATCTTCACCTCGTGGCCTTGGTGGGCGGCCTTTCTCGCTCTTGGGCCACCCAAACGACCTAGCTGTTGGAGTCCATGAAACTCCTACGCCATGAAGTTCCTTGCTTCCAGCTAGATGGCTTCCTGTTCATTTCTTATTTAATTTTGAAGCTGAGCGGATGTGCTTGTTCTTGCGGATGGTGATCATCGAAAAGGATCAAGACTCCAGAATCTCAAGTTGACATGTCAGCACTTGGTACATAGTCAGGACTGATCAATGAGTGTGGTACAAGACATCTTTGTTCCCAATCCACTTGAAGTTGTTTTTACATGGTTTACTGTAAATGGTCATTACACATTGTTGCCATCTTCATGTCAAGTGAAGGACTTGAAGCATGTTCATGTAACCCTGGTCAGATGAGAAGGACATGACATGGGTATCTATCACCGTGAGACCTGATTAGCAATCATCCATCCCCTGTCCTTTTGGGGAACCATGTCCTTTGGTGTGTTCATCATCCGGGCTAGTCAACATACTTTCGCTCGCTCAGTAGCAAACCACAACACTATACTGATGTGTGAGATTGCGTGAGGCTTTTGAGGCCACATGGCTACCTTTGATGACCCGGTGTCCAGCTGGGCTGTCCCATCGACCCGGTCAGACAAGCGGACCGGCCACCGTCAGCCTTCGGTGCGCCGTGAGCTTCGGCCCTGCATCCTTGGATCGACACCTCCATGCTTTCGATGTTTGTTCAGACATGCAGAGCTTTTGGGCGACTACACCTTATGCTGGTCCCCTGAATGTTGGAGCAATGCATCTTTGCAAAGAAACACATCCAGGACATGAAATTGAAATGAACATGACAGTCACATGCTTGCCAGGTGAGACCACCTGGTTCCACCAAATCCTGTGACTACTTGGATGGCCCTTTGGAAGCCCTGCCGCCACCGCGCCACAGGTGGCCCGTCGGCGTCCGCATCATCGCTCGGAGCGAGGAGAACGGACGAAAGATTGAGACGATTGGAAGGTGTATCATGTTGTATAGGGAAAGTATATGGACAGTATCAAGATATTTACGATGATAGATCGTCATGTAATGGGGTGAGTGTGGCTTCAAGAACAGTCACTTCCTGAGTAGGCCTATGGGCGACCTACTAGACTAGTATAGGTCGCTGTGGCACAGTAAAAACCGATATATATATATATATATATTTGCCGGTCACACAACAGGAGATTGACTTGCACCGTGCACTGGTCCAACATGATGCCGAGTCCATTAAGCCGTCTCGAATGGAAAATTCTTATTAAGCCGTCTCGCCTTGTCTCATGAAGTAACCAAACTACAATCAATTAACCATGTAGTCCGTCAACTGCGAATAGCACAACAAATGATGTTGGATGAGCTGCGGGTGTGGAGGCATTGTATTGCTTTGCTGATGAGGCAAAGGACAATACAGTCGTGGTTCACCCTGCTCCGTCTTGTTGGCTTTTTCTTCGCTTTGAACAAAACCGCTTCGGGGAACGGTTGGGTCGACCTTAGTTTTGGTCCCTCAGCCCACCGTGCTTCGAAAAAGCGGAAACCAACACCACAAACAGAGCTTGCTCCGCCAAAGCTTCTTTGCTCTTGTTGAGGAAAGGACCCTACTTACTGTAATTGAGAAGCACCTTTGTATCATCCATACTGGCACAAGTTTGGATCACAGCAACATGCAAGCTTGGAGCCCAGACTCCCAGACTCTCACACGCCCAGACAGCACCCGCTTCCCACACGCACCCACAGGACCACTACTGTGACACCGGCATCTACGCCCACGGTCTCCGTTGAATCTCGCGTGACTCGTGAACAATATGAGCTGGGAGGAGAGCAGATCTCAGAGCTGCAAACCTAAAGCAGACCATCAGTCACCGCTCACCTTCTGTTCTTCTGGTTCCATTCCATACCTCAGCAAAAAGTTCTTCTGGTGGCTGCCACATGCACTGGGCAAAAACAGGTCGCCGACAGTGCAACATGTCGGCGAACGATGGAGTGAACCGAACCCTGCGACATTTCCGGAACCAGACCTCCGCAGATCTTCAGAAAGAGCGGCCGGATGTGGGGCCTGGCCTGGTCTGTGGGATTTGGGGTCTGAATATGGATCGATTCGATGCCCCAGCCCCAGCATCCCAAAAAACGAGTGACACGACCGAACCGGGGCGTCCTGAGGTGCCTGTCCCCCCGGCCCGGCGACACGTGACAGCACCAAGGCGCGTTCAAGATTGCCCAGTTCACAAATCTTGGGGAGGGTCCTTTGTTTATTGCAAGACTAAGACTCTCTAAATGGATCTTGGGATCGTCCTCTTGCCAAGACTTGTTGCCCCAAGCTTCGCCGTTGCAGGCCTAGCTCCGCACGGGTTTCCCACGTGGGAAGCTCAGAGCCACCAACCCAACAGAGTGACAAACGTCGCAATGAACGCATGGAGCGACTGTCCAGCAGAATGGAGTTTCAAAGAGAAGTGTCCAGGTGGTATTTCAGGTCCAGGTGAGGACTCCGGGAAGGTTTTGGCGGGGTTTTGTATTGTTTGACAGGACACATGGCAGACGTCTCCAGATCCCTAGATTGGTTGTATGGGCCAATATGGGATGTTCGATTCAACCAAGGGCAACAGAGCGCCGTCCAGTGGCCCACTCGCCCTCGGTGAGAACTGACCCTGCTGAGGCGCCGAAAGAGGCGCGGCGGGAAGTGAGAGAGGAATCAGAGAATTCCCACGGGGTAGGGCATCCACTTCAACCACTCCACTTCCGTCAGGTTTGGAGTTCGTGGACTCGTGACCCCCAGGTCCCCTGGTCAGCCACCAGGTGCAGGTCCAGGTTTGGACCTGAAGTCAGATCGAGCTTTGGACCGAGGCGCCGGGAGCTTCGCGGCACACCCAGCGCCCTCGCCCGGTCAGTGCGCGGCCACGGCACCCAGCGACCTCGCCATGGGTGCCAGGGATTTTTCAGCTTGACTTGGCCAAGTGTTGACAACTGATTTGGAGGGTTCTGGATGGTTTGGGGGGGTTCTTGGGGTTCTGATCGTCAAGAGTGTATTCTCCCGATTCTTGGGTGGGGCAGGGGTCATCAGGGTTTTCTCCAGCGTTTGGCGGTTCAGTATGGGCCAAAGGTCAAGGTGAAGAATGGATGGGCTTGACATCTGTTGGAGTTCACCTGCCCAAGAGTACCTGCGTTCTCCTATGGGGGTTGCACAAGGGCTGTTGCTGTCGCTCGTGAAGAGAGCAGTTCTTTTGCAGCAACAGGATGAGGACACCTTCAAGGGTGCAATGGTTCATTTGTAGATCCATGTAGATGCAGTAGTATTAGGTCATACAGAAGGTGCAGGGAAATTGAGGATACCAAACGTGCTTGCTCAGTTTTGTTCAATTCATGGGAAGATGATTCTCCCAATATCACGGGTGCGAAGTTGATAAAGGGCGCCCTTGTCACTAAGAAAAGTGTATCAATGCTTTTCTCCCCAACCCATCAGACTCATTCATTTGCGTTCCATGTTTAAGAATCACGCCGTAGCAGCAACTACTGTACATCTTCCGGTGGCAACAACTTCACAATGGCACCAGACAGAGACCTGGATCTTCAAGGAGGAAAGCCTCCTGCCTGTTGGTGTTTTATGATGCTTCTATACCTACTGGTACCTAGACTCACCAGCAGTTTCCCGAGGTGCATGGAAAGTCCTCTTGCTCGAAAATCTTTGACACTCCGCACGTGGGCAGCACCGCCACTGAGGGGCTGCAGCAGTTTGGCGTATTTGAAAGGCTTCCACGGGCAGCACCCACGAACTCCCAGGGACTTGCCATCTTGGTCGGGCGGCCCAGGTGGAGAGCGCAAGGAACTTGGTCGGCAGGGGGCGGTTTGGGCTCGGTTTGCGTCCAGGAGCCCACGCGGCCCAGTCCGCATACAGATGATTACGGTATCACATGGTATGAGCATGTACGAGCTAGCTTTGTGTTTTAGTCGACTTTTTTTTCTGCATGGCTATGCACTTGCTGTGTGGATATGTATATATATTATATATGTACAGTATATATTATCACAAAGATGAAAGACTTTATCATAAAGATGAAAAACTTCCAAAGCCCTATGCATTTACCTCTTCCGAAGCCGCGCTACAAAAGGGCAAAAGTCGTAGTTTACAGCACCAAACCAACATAAGCCAATACCCTTAGTCCATCTTAGAGCAGTGGTTCGTTAAGTTGAAAACACTATATAGATTCTCAAATATATGAAGACAGATGCATCCTTGCTCATTTGCTAAGCCTTTCATATGTTAAATGTATTGTGGAGGGCATCTCATCGCGTCCAACGACTCCCAGCACGCCGTGCTGAATGCAAGTAATATGCATCCAAATCAGTTCGATCCACATCATGTCCGCCTTGAAATGTCTTTCAGAAAAAAAGAAGACTCAATGGAAGTAACACATGAATAAATTTCCTACCATCACATTAATGACATAATCTTTACTATTTTCAAAGAGTCAAACAATGCCTTCGCAACAAGCAATCGCTTCATGTGATTTCATTCGATCCCTGAGTGCGGATAGGTAAATTAGTAGTTCAAGGCCGTGCCAAAAACCATGGACAGAAAATCCTGTCAGAGCATCCTATTGTGAGGTCGACTTTTTGGAGGTCTTTGAGAAAACCCCAACGGCTGGACATCCACAGGAGCAGCCGGAGTACCTCGCTCTCCGAGCCGGCGCCGAGCATGCCCAAGGGGTCGGGGCACCTGGTGAAGGAGTCACGTCAATTCGAGACAAATTGTATCTTCCACGTCCACGTGTTTCAATTATAATATCTTATAATATAGTATATATAGATCAGATCTACAATACATATATATATATATACGATTTATGATTACCATTGAATCATGTTGTGTTATTGTGTGGCATCAAGATATATAGACATGAATGTGTCTTTGCTTTGGAGAAAATAGTCTAATCAAAAGGTATAGCTTCAGCTACCTGAGTTCTCTTTGTGTTTAGAAAAACTGTATATAAATTATATTGTCTCAGAACAACTTTGTACTGCACAGTATATCACAGTGTTCAGCCCATCCGTCGTAGTCTGTCGCCTTTCCATTACTGTTCCCATGGTGTGCGCCTTCCACTTACATATCCCACGGGAGCCCAATGAACCACTAGCAAAGAAAATGCTAATTGCTCGGCAGCCATTGCCAGGGCGAGGTTTGCTACCATAGCCATAAGCAAAATGGAAAGAGAACCTACAAGCGCTCGGTTTCTCGACTTTCTCAAAGCATCAGCTACCAAAGCTCAAACACACTCGGTTTCACACACCGTGCTAAGCTGCCGACTGGTTTATTCTAAAAAGCATTCGGCAGAAGTAGCCTCTTTGCACACCGGGCTACTGGACCTGCCGAAGGAAGCTGAAAACATCTGAAAACAAACAATGCCCGCTGCGACCGCAAAAGCACCGCTTAACACATATTATACGATATTGTGCACCACCCAAAGCTTAAAGCACATCCACATGGCACATTCTCTTCCAACAAAGGCAGCGCAAGACTTACTGAGGACTCAATCTTGATAGAAACGACTACAACCACCAGAAATAATAGCAATGAAGAATCCTCACTTAGAGCCTATGATCACTACAATGCACTAGAAAGCACGGGCGGCTTATCAGTATTTAAAACATAGTTTGGAGGATGAACATCCTGGGGATGGTGATGTTGAAGACACATGTCATTTGATGGTCATTTGTTTTGGACTCTGACCTTTTTGGTGGTCATGTGTCACCTTCTTTTTCGCGCACGCACGGACACCGTGCAGCTCTGAGGAGTGCCCCGGTGTCTCGCAGCTCTGAAGTGCCGGAGGAGCACCGTGGGAGTGCACCGAGGGAACGAAGACTCTTGGTGAAAAAGAGTGTCCTGGTGTTTGGTCAAATGCGCTCAAATCACTGAATGGGCTCGCAATAGTGTCCTGAAAACATCTGAAACGTGTTCTATAATTCAGGGTCTTATTCTATAGCTACTATAGCGCTCAGGGGCCAGGGTTGTAGCAGATCTGATGAGTTTCTTCCACTTCCAAAGGTCTGAACACCGATCTCCGCCCGGGTCTCGGTCTCTGGGCTGGGCTGAAATCACATGCTGCCACGGCTCCACAGGCTGGGTCCGCACGGTTGTGGCCCGGTCACGGTTTGGTGTGTCAAACATCCAGCAAGGACGCTACTAGGGGCTCCTGGCATCGCTACTAAGAGCAAAGAACGCGACGAACGGGGCTCCTGGCATCGCAGCAAGGACGCTACGAACGGAGCACTGTTGCAGAACAGCCACACCGACAGCCGGGGAAAAGACCTGGCCTCCCAGTCGACCGAGGAAAAGCCCCGCTCCCACGCTTCCGGCGGCCTTCGGCTTGGGGGCCCAGCGAGGCATAGTCCGTAGGAGACCACCTGCCACCAGCAGGAGATACACATTGAAACACCATGAACCATGCCTTTATCCTGCGCTGAGTGGAAGAAACACCAACAAGGAGTTTCACGAAGTGTAGACGGAACATGTTTCCTACTGCAACCAGTTTCGACTCAACATAACATCCAATCGACTGCTTGAAATGCCCTCGCGGATGGGACAAGAAACCACTGTGATAATACAAACGCCGGTTTTTTACCTTCGCTCTCGACTTCAACCAGAGCTTGGAAGGAGTCACCTTGCCAAGCAGTCTGCAGACTTTGACTTTGGTTGGTCCTCTATATAACCAGAGCTTGGAAGGTGTCATGAATTTTGGCCTTTGCTTCTGCCTTTGATCCTACTTGCTCAGCATCACGTTGCCAGGCAGCTTTCGTCAGCCTAGCTTTCGGGAGTTGAATAATTATGTGCATTCATTCCTGGTCTGATTGTAAACCTGATGTCATGTCACAAAGTGGGAAGCCGCGCTCATGTCATTTCGGGAGTCGAAAATCGATCAGCCGGGAGACGGAGTCTGTCTGAATTTGGGCAGACTCGTCTCGTTTGGTGACCAGGTGATTGGTTTGACATGGTTAGACCAATGGCGATATGGTCTCGTCCATGCTGGAGCACCGGCAGTCGAAAGAACCGAGTATTTTTCCTGGTCTTTGGGACCATGTGGATACAAATCTGACACATCTGACTTGTGACGTTGAGGGACATCGCCATGGAGACAAGGCCCATGAAACATTAACTCAAATCACTGGGCTAGCCTGTGCATTTTGGATTCTTTTCCCAAGATCCCTAAACATCAAATCCAGTTTGTTCCTCTAGACATTTCTAGAGCAAAGTTATATACTATATATAGAGATAGTACATATTATAGTTATATAAACAACACTTCTGAGTTCTTCCTGATGTTTATTTGTTTGGTTCCCCAGCAAGAGATTCTCATGCTTGAGTCTCAAACCCCTCAAGCCCCCACCCCTTCACCAAACACACCCTCTTCGCAACCACCGAGGGCTACGTCCGCCCAGCCGACACGGCACGCCCCACGGTGCCGAGCCCCTGGCGACCGGCACCTTTTCAGCAGCGAATGCGTTCGGCATGATCCCACTCATTAACGTCCATTTTTTCAATCCTCCTCAGGCTCTCAAATGGCTCAGTTTTGTTGCTTCTCAGGTGGTAGTTCAGAGTCTTGAGATGTCCGAAGTCAGTAGTACCATGGCCATGGTTAATAAAAGAGAACACTGTGCACGACGCAACGATACGCAACGTGCGGACTGTCAATGCCATGTGCAGACTGTCTTAGTTTGGGTCATCGAAGCAACTATAATATCCCCATGTCCAGAAAGAGTCGGTAAAAGAGTATCACTATGTTTAAAGAGAGGCCTTTAATCAACCATCATCCACTACTGGTGTTGGATCCAGGCAAATGTGCCTCTTGAGAACAAAAAATCCATCGCCTATCACCGAGTGGAATCGCGGGTCGGCGGTCCGGTGGTCCGGATCACCCGAAAGCGGTGACCTGGGTGACCCGTTTTTGGTCGGTGACCTGGGTGACATCAGCTTTTGGGGGGTGGATCAAAGAAACAAAACGGCTGATTGGGGGGACTGCGTTTTTTTTTTTTTAATCTCGATTTGTGACTGAGTTGCCTTTGGGCCTTTGGTTGGTTCCATCTGTCGGGATCTGTCGGTGCAATACAAGCCGCACATCGTCTCAGGATTGGCTGGAAAAGCAGCTCCATGCGTACAAGTCTCACCTCGAAGCCTTTTGGGAGATCAAGGCGAACGATACTGCGGGTGGGCGCTCGGTGAGATTAAGACGAACCCCTCCAACATGCAGAAAACGTGAGCCAGGAGCTGGCGGGAAACATTCGTATGCTTTCAGCAACACATGCATACACATGCAAAATTAATTACGACGCACCTAATTTAAAATACATTGATGGATCTGATTCACGTGGAATCATTCTTTCTGAACCCTGAGCCAAGCTGAGCTTGACCCCGCCATCACAGGCCGAGGAGCTTGGGCACTCAGAAGTGCAGCGATTCTCGGGGCGATTCTCGGTGAAAGCTTCTCTTCTCACTATGATACGCACATGTTGATCATGTTGCATGTTCTATCATGTTCTTGGTGAAGGCCTAAGGAACACGGCGATGTGATATTAGGTTATTAACATGCATGACATCTATCTATGAACCCTTCTCAACCTATGAACCCTTATCATCCACTGAAATCGGAAGAGGTTCCCAAGCAGTGGACCAAATCACTTCCAGCAACGGCCAGGGTTGCCGCGGCCCTTTGTTTGTCTTTCACAATGGAATGTTTGCCAAACATCCGGGAAGTGCCCTCTATCTGGGGAATGCCCTGCACCTGCCGGTACCACATTGTGCGGGGCCTGGCGGAGCCTTCGAACCCAATCCCGGTGGCGTGTCCACTTCAAGGTTCAAGGCTTCGAGCTGCGACTCTTCACAGGTAGGGCCGGGGTTTGGATCAAAGGTTGGAGACATAAGCATGTTTGTGAATAAGGAGAGATGTGGGTGTGTAATGGTCTGTATACATAAAAAAGGAAACCCCGAATAGCCAGCCCCCAACCATGGGGGTTGGGTCTATTTCCCTTCTTCCAGGGGGTCCAACATGTCTTTCTATTGATCTTTAGAGTCCAATGGTGACCCCAAATGAATGGTGCAGATTTGGTTGAATCGCGGACATGTTCAAAGCACTGAGGACAATAATTTCAACACGTCTATGATTCTAAGACCATCCATTTGGGGTCACCCTCGGACTACTCTACACTCCTTACAGGGTCACTTGATGTTCAAGGGGGGGATGCTTATCAGGGTTCAAACACTGGGGGCCTACGTTGAGGCTTGTCTCCTGCAGCTTCCTCCCGAAGGATGTGGAGCGTATAGAACAACTGACAACTCTGAATGTGTCTCCCAACGTTCATGCCCCCCGCGTGGTTGACCATCCAAAAGCCTCCCAAAGGCTGTGATCTTCCCAAGCAAGACATCCTTTATACAAGCCATTTAGCAGGGGTATTCAAGCCATTTGATTACAATCAGGGCAATGTAGACTCTTGACTAATAAACCCCCCAATATGAAGAGGACTTTCCATTCAATTGGGTGCTTTGTTAATCAAGAGTCTACATTACGTGGATTTGGATCCCAAGTCACTGCCTTGCCCCTCAAGCGAGTCGTGTAGTGAAGGGGCCAGCTCACGACACTCGAAGTGGTGACGACTCATTGCCAGCAAACCAGCAAACCGGAACAGCATCTCCTTGCGAGACCAGAAGGTTGAAAGAACAACCGAAACAACACCTCTTCGTCAAGCCGCAGTGTGCTTATCTTTACACTGCGTGCGCAACCGGGACATAGGCTTTTGTTGCTGTCACCAAATTAACAAAAGGAAAAGCACAAACACTGAACCGCGGCGGACAGCGGGCCCAGAGCGGTCGCCATGGGGGATACAGAGCCCGAGAAGGAGACATCACAGAATGTGGATAGCCGTGACCTCGGCCATGGGTGAGATTATATACGAAATCCTTCGCTTTGCTTTGGGGGGGAGGAGAACTCCCTATTCGCATCTATTGATAGCTTGCAGCATCTTGCAGCAATACAGCTTTTTAGTTGGCAAAGCGTTCACACTTATATAAACAGAGGAGGACGCGTTCTAAGGGGGACTCCAGTTGTTTGCTTGAGTCACCAGCTTAACCACTAAGTACGGATTGTCGGAATCTTGATTAATTTTGCAGAATTTCTTCTTCATTAGAAATCAACAGCTGATTGGTATCCCCGTAGCATCTACGCTTGTAATCCCAAAGAATCAGTACCACGCACACATATAGCCAAAGCATGATGAAACCAAGCATATTGGTTCACAAGGGAGTTTGCCCTGTCAGGAAAGCAGTTAGGGCATCAATTCAATGGCAGTCGAAGACCAAAGCACACTGCCCGCTTGAGGCTATATGCAGCAGCACCAGATTCAGCCCTTTGTTCAGGACAGATGATCAGATTAGCCTGAAGCAGGTTCATCCACATCGCAAACATTAGTTTTCTTTTCTTGAGATTGTTGGGGGGGATGTGTGACAAATGTTGAGCACTACCTTGGAAGTAAGCCGGCTCATGCTAGCTCAGCTTTTTTTTGAGCAGCTCTGAGAACGGGAAGGAAGCACGCAGAGATTGCCCATGCTCGGCTGGCTCTTGCAGGAAATGCTGACAGAGCTGTTCCATGTGCTGCCGGAAGATCCATATGAGTACATGCAGAAGTCTTAGCAGTTGCTAAAGACTTCGGAGATGAGGTTGTACCTCAGTTATATATATAACCATCCTGAAGTACATAGAATTTTGGTACAACTCAATCCCGCGGCACTATAAAAAAGTAATAATACATGGAATATCGGGGTCCCAAAAGCATCTTCAGGATGGTTATATCAAAACACCCGCGTGCCTCGAATCGAAACACCCGCGCGCGCGCGAGCTCGCATCCTATGTCCCTTTTCCTTCTCCCATCTTCTCCCCTATGTCCCCTATCTTCCACAGACCATTCCACGATATTCCAAGTACTCGTTTGATCCGCTCGGAGATATTCTATGTACTTTTTTGGGGGGGGGTCAAAACGAGGTACTTAGAATATGAAATTGAAATGACGGAAGGTACGTTGGCGGCTCAATTCCGTATTCTATCTACTCAAGGATGATTATAAGTATAAGAATGGCTACACAACCTCATTAGCGCATTTTGTGATTGGTTGTGTGTGTGGGTTAAAGATGAATACGGATTAGTACTGTATGGACTAATTGATTCTTGAGAATCCCAAGCCAGCATCATCAGCCAAGACATGATGCGTGATTTAGTCTCTATCCTGACGCGGTGGATTTCGCAGCGAGTTCCGTGTACAATTGGCACCAAGAAGGTTTGACCCAGATCTGCATGTTTCAGGTCTAATTTGTTCCATTGGTTTTCATTCACACTTGCATGTAGCTTGCGTGTGCAAGTTTTGTGTTCACAAAAGTCACCAAAATGTCCACTGGGACATTTTAATTTTGGCTCAAGTGATTGGCAGTGAAATGACTGGGTGCAGAAGACCCATGCACAACTCCAAGCTCCTGAGACATCTGCAGATCCTTTGGGAGCTTGGTTGAGAGATGTTTGCTTTGGGGTACATAAGGTGATCTTGGGGTCACCTGCTTGAACACGTAACTACGGACATTGATCCTGCGGCTGTTTGTGTCAATATCCTCCCATCAGCTTTGATTAGATGGTATACAAGGATAACTTGCGGCTATGAAAGCCTACAAAGCAGTTTGCACCCTACTTGAAGATGCCTTTACAAGAATCATTGGTCATTGGTTTGCAAGATCATGCAATCTTTGAGGACCTTGATAGGGAAATGATCCCACAACCACGCTGCATGGCAAACGTATTCCTAAACAGGTGATTGCATTGAGAGAAGGTGTACGGTCGTTTTCCATCCATTTCAGCGAGCGCATGCAAGACCTCCATGCGAGCGCATGCAAGATCCTGTGCCGTCTAAGGACCTATCACCTCGCCTCCAAGCGTCCAGTCCGGCCGCCACAGGATAGGATGAGGGCGGTGGGGAGGACGGTGGGATGGTGGGTGATCTCATCCGGGCGGGGCGTGGGCACCCAGTGGTGGGTGAGCTACGAAAAGGCCCTAAAGGGCGTGGCGCTGCATGCAGAGCTGAAATGTGGGCCAGTCGAGTGTGTATTTTTTTGCAGTCGTTGGCAGGGTAGCTGATCCCAGACCAACGTGCCCAGTGCCCAAGCCCCCAAAGTTTGCTCACTATTGTGTAGTCATCCGCAAAAAGGCCAGCCACAGCTCTCCTGCAAGCACGCGCTAAAAGCTATGACTTGGACATATGAGCCGATCAGGTCTGGTGGCAGGATCCCAAAGCCCCAAAACATTTAAAAGGCAAGTGATGTTCACAGTTGCTTTGCTGAAAAGTCGGTTTGCTTGTAGCTGGCACCGGAGCGACAAGTGGAGGAGAGAAAACAAAATAAGGCGAAAACAACATGCTGACCTGCTGGCAGCGGCGAGAAAACAGAAGGAGGAAGAAACACATAGAAGATTCAACAGTCAAGAGTCAAGAGAATCAATGGAAAAAGGGAGGACAAAGGAACGACAAAAAAAGAAAGATATTGACGTACAAAAGGAAAGAACGGAGAAAGAGGCCATACAAACGGGATAAGACAAGAACAACATGTTCAGATCTGGCCACAGGAGCCCGTAGTCAAAACAAAATCCACAAACAAAAAGCGCGTTTGGACCACCGACAGAGCCGAGCCGCCTTCTTTGCCTTCTCTTATGTTTCTTTGCCCCAATTTAGCCGGGATAATGTTGTTTCCGCAAGTGCAAGGGCAGCGGAGTTGTCATGAGTCCGGGAGAGTTGTTTCTGCAGGAGCAGAATTTGATCCAGAGCGGTGTGCTTTGGGTATTGCTGCCTGGAAGCAATCCCATGCCCCTCGGCTTGATTGGGTGGCAAAGCATAGCTAGCAACAGGGAGCAGTTTAGACTGTTTCTGTCAGAACACACCCCACAGTGCTGAGATGGTTGACTCAGCAATGACAAGAACATACAAGAACTGTTTGACGCTCCTGTCAGGCAGTGATATAGTTGGCCGCTCCCCCCTGTCCGGACCAATTTGCTGCGAAGAAGTTGCAGTTCGAAGATGAGTCTAAAGTGGAAGTGCATCCACCAGGTCTTGGTTGGCTACACGAGTCCCCCGGCCCTTAAATCCACAGGATTGGGGTCAAAACCACAGGGTGGTTTATTGGGGTGTTGAAACTGCAGAGAACAATTCACGAAAGGTAGCTTGAGCTACCTCATCCCCTCCTCTCTCAAGTCTATACTGCAGACAACTGGGCACCTTTTGCTTTGACTCGGAAAACCGGTTCTTTTCCCCTCAGGTCTGTGGACCACTGGCGATTACGACGCTGTTGGCTGACCCAGCTAGGCCCGGCGCTGCTGTGTTTCAGCAGCGTCCGGACTCACAGTCGTTGGCTGAAACACTCTGTCACGTCACCGGGATCTGGGTCGAAGCAACATACACACACAATCACATATATATATATTATATATACACACAGTCGTGGTTTCAGGGTTTCAGATGGTTTCAGAGTAGGTGGCACAAACAACATCCTATAATTAGTTGTGTGTGTTTTGTTTTTTATATCGGCATATGGACCGCCCATCGTGTCCCTTGGCCTCGCGGCCGAACACGATGCGACATCGCCTCAGTCGACAGGTTCCATCACGCCCAGACCGGCACGGAAAAACCTCCGTCGTTCGCCAGCACTCGGGGAGTTTGATCGATTGAAGTTGAGGTAAGCTAGACAATCCAAACAGTGTTGAGTTCATCTAGCTGCTTCATACAACATACAATCCAAACAGTGTTGAGTTCATCTAGCTGCTTCATCCAAACACTGTTGTTCAACTTTTGTTCATCTAAAGTG